ATCCAATGTTTCATGTTTAACAACTATGTCCATATCACTCTGATCATACTTCTCCACCATTGGCTTGTCTTCCAGCAATTTATTTCGATGGCCGACCAATTTCTCAACCCGTAGTTGTTCTCGACACTCGGCAATGTATTTTGCAACTGTCAAAGACTCGAAGGGAGGAACAATGGCTCATCAAATGGAGCGACGGTGATGCGATTGATGCTTCCTGGGAGCCTGTCAGGCTCATTTGCACCCACTTCCCTACACTACACTTTGAGGACAAGAGATATTTGTCGAAGTGGGGTGAATGATACAACCGAGCACAAACAGTATGCTGAGCATGAGACCAACACTGAACACAAGCCACATTCCGATGCTGAGCATGAGACAACCACTGAGCCTCTATTCCACCCACACCAAGATGGTTAGAGGATTACGTGACATGAAGGGTAGTTATGAAAGCCATGGCACCCCACTACACCAATCATTATCCATGATGTAATTCCATAATGCAGTGCTTATTTTCCACTAAGGCATTATGGCTACTCGATAGTTTATTAGATTAATTAGTTATACCCTTGTAATTTTATTGTTTGGAATGATTATGAAACTATTTCTCTACCTCCTCCTGTCTCGTTCATTTCTAGTTCCCAACTCATCATTCTTCTCCTACCCAAGGTTTTGAAAGGTGAAAACTAGCCTCGAGGCGGTGGAGCATAATGCCTTGAGGCGTAAGCCTTGAGGCGGACCTCAGTTCAATATGAAAAAAATCATACTAAAATATGTACACCGAGGTAGAACGAAATGCATAATCCATTTTCATGTTAAATAAATGATAAAATCATAATTCTTAAATTTTACAAAACATGATACCATATCTTAATTTTTAAAACACAAAAAAGAATAGAATTATAAAGATTAAACACAGTAACATAAACACAAATGTCGTTAACCCATCTTCAAACCTTATAAATATTAAATATGGACAAAAGTTCACGCAAAAAAAGTTACATCATTCTTTGATCTTTGAACCGAATTTAAAAGAGGGAGAGGGATGTTAGAAAAGAAGGAACCGAAAAAATTAAAAGTTGAAAGAAGAAGATGAATGAAATAGAAGATAAGCTATTAAATATAAAGTAATTTCCTTAGCGGTAACCACAAGAGTGAAGTTGTGTCACTGAAGTCTGAGGATGGAGAGAAGTACAGTTGAAGATGGAGAGACGAAAGTTGACGCTAAAAGTCTTGGAAAGAAGTGATAATTATCTACTAGGTTTATTAAGTTTTTCTTAAGAAACTTTATAGTGCATTGGCCCAAAAGAGTTTTTTTAAAAGAGGCCCAATAGCTTTTAAAAAATAACCCTTATAATTGTTGAAATTCTTATTGAAAGTGAGGCCTACGCCTTGGTTACGCCTTACTGCCTCAGACCGCCTCGGACCGCCTCAACATTGTGAGGCGTACGCCTCAGGAATCCCTACTGAGAAAGCCTCAGAGGGGAAATGCAACCGCCTCACCGCCTCGAGGTGGACCGCCTCGGTCACCTTTTAAAACCATGCTCCTACCTCCCCCTCTAATCTTCTCTTCACTAATATTACCCTCAAAATATTGGAGTTAAAAGACACTCAAAGTCTTCACTTCCCATTTCCCAAGTTCTTATCAGTTTCACCGTATGACTCAACCTTTTATGTTTTGTTATTTAAGATTGACAAAAGACACATGCTGCCACTTGATAGTAGTAAGACGTAACAGTATTGCTCTTTATAATTCCTCGCCCAATTTCTTTTGTTTGAAATCAGTCATTCTTTGTTGTGTTTGGTGTTTTATGTTTCCCTCTTTTTTGCTATCCATACTCATTTGGCTTGTTAAATGTTACTAGAAGTCATCGGTCCATTTTTCTTCTAAAAAAGAAAAGAGTTAATTTGTTGTAATAGACTTTTATTATATAATATTTTCTTTATTACTTTTTTGGGTGCAGAAAGAAATCTTTTACACTTTGGGAGTTCTATTTTAAGACATGCATTTGATTTTACATTTCGAATTTGTTCAGTTTGTGTGTCAATTTGAATCAAATGCATTTGAATCATCTCCCTTGGACAGGTGGTTCTAAAAAAGAAGAATTATTTTGTTGTCAATTTGAATCAAATGTATTTTTGTCTTAGCACCTGCCATCGCTGGATGCTGCATTTTCTATTTTTCTGGCAAGGTTTTGGTTTCTCTGGTTATTAGCAATGTTTTTGAGAAGGATTTCTCTCCTTATTTTAGTGAGGCTGGGATATGTCTTTTAGGAAAAAGCATAAATTTTTAGGGTTTTTGTTTTATGTTATGTGCTTGTTCTGGAGATTAGTTTTTTTATAAACTTTGATGAGACACTTCTCTTCCCATACAAACTTTTCTTCCCTTTTTTTGCCAAACCTATACAATGTAAACCAAATTGAGATGTATTCTACACTACCTTTGATTTTATTACCTATGACCTTTTAATTTAATAATTGGATATAGTAATTTTGTTTCAGATTGGAGCATGATCGAACATTGGAAAAAGGAGTATAGACATCATTTGCATCTGGAGCTTTCTATGGTACCATTGCCACAACATTGACTAATCCAATGGATGTTCTAAAGGTACACAGTGCACAATAGATGTATAAAAAAAATGGAGAAAATATCTTTATCATATATGCAAAGCTTTAAAAAATTACAGATCTCAAAACAAAAAAAAAAAGAATATTTTCCAGGAAGATATGCTAAAGAAATCAGGATATCTCAAGTAGATATGCTAAATCAATCATGATTAATTAGTCTCTTGCTATTAAAGTTAATGCCATGAAATTAGAACGTAGGAACTAGTCATGTTTTTGTAGATCTATAAACACGCAAGTAAAATTCACATATGTGCTTTATGTGTCCCAGAGCTCAATTGTTGCAGCTGCCTACACAAGGAGATCTCAGAGCGAAGCTGCAAAGAACCCCAACCGAAAATCATGGAAACAAAGAACAGATATGTATATGAGGCCATTTTTGTTGGATGTTTTCTTTTCAAGGAGGTATATCGAGGCGAAAGTGGTGCACCGACCAACCAGCAAGGTCATCTCAGTGGCTACCACAAATGCCAAGGACCTCAGGACTACACTGCCATCACTTTTTGACAATAACGCAGCCAGGGTTATAGGGAAGTTGATTGCTGAGAGGTCAAAGGATGCTGATGTATTTGCAATGGCGTACGAGCCTAGGAAGAATGAAAGGATAGAAGGCAGGCTGGAAATCATCCTTGATACTATTGCAGATAACGGCATTATCATTTTATAGTCTCCAAATTTAAGGGCGTGTTTGGTTGGAGGGGAGGAGTAATGCACTTCTTCCCCTCGTTTGGTTCAAAAAAAAATGGAGGGGACAAAAAGGCAAACATTTTCACTTCTCTCTCTGACAACAAACCAAACAGGGAGGAGATGGAGTAATATACTGCACTGTTTTTGTTGCCGTTGCTTCGAACAAACCGAACATGGAAACCTATAAAACCCAACCCTCTCGCAGAACCAAACACACCCTAGAGATTTTGATGGAAATAAATAATCAAGACTTTGGCTTCCATGTTTTTTAGTACTTTTGTTAAGCCCACTTCCATAGAAGATTGTCTAAAGTGACTACCCTTTTATGTATGTGTATTTTTTTTAACTTATTTCGAGGTAGTATCTGTATGTACATTCTCAACATATTCAAACTCGTAGAGTTACTGCTCGCACTAGAGATCGAACAAATGACCACAGCCATAGCAGTGGCATTGGACTACAATTTCATTGGCTTTTACATACGTGTATTGAAACAAGACTTTAACATAAAATGTGTTACTCCAAAACGAACATAGAAGGTGGTTTGTTATTCTAAATATAGTATTCCTTTATCTCGTTATTATCTCCATATTTTCTCATTTGACTTGTTTGAAAAAAAAATCTAATTTCTTCTTTTTTTTAAATGTGTGGTCCATGTTATTTCTTTTTCATGTATACAAACCATATTGCTTTATTAAAAATTTTGTTGCAAAGGGCCTTGCGGCGAATAGTATAATTATGCCGCCCAGAGTGTCAAGGATCACATGTTCAAATCACAGAGGGAGTGTTAGTTTATTTATTCATTGTGCTTCAATAGATCAAAAAATTTGGAGTAGATACCAAAATCACAAAATCCAAGTTCACAGTATAGTTATCCAAATGATAAATTCCTTTTACAAAGTTTTAAAAAGTATCTATGGCTTTTAGAAAAAAACTATATTAACCCCATTATGACATTTTTAAATAGTGTTTCATGTCTGCAAAGGCAATTGGGACAAAAGTGGGATTAATATAGCATGACTCTGGTTTTTATAGCCATGAGTCAAACTGGAAACAAAGAAAAAAAGTAATATTCCGTGATTTCAAAAATATAAGGTTGTTTCTCACTGTTTTCCCTTTTATAAGAACAATAAAATTTTAAAACTCCTTTATATTAACGATTAAATTTGCAACATTATGTTGAGAAGATAACCAAATATACCCATGATTAATTCAAATGTTTGATACGATTTAGGTACTCCCTCCATCCACAATTTAACTATGAACAATGTATAAAATCTAGAAAATATTTTATTTACAAATTAATATAGAAATTATATATTTCAAAACTACATAAAAAATCATATAAAATAAGATATGATAATGATATTTTATTGAGCACTCAGAATAGTAACCGAGAAGTTAATTTGTGGATGATAGAGAGTATATAATTTTATTTCAACCATTTACCAAGACATTTAATAAACTAAACTAAGTCTATTGCAAAATACTACTCACTCCGTCATATTTTAAATCGCTTGTTTAGATTTACAACGTTTGACTGAAGTTATTTTCAAATTATTTTATATGAAAAATGGCATAGAATCAAAAAATAAAAATTACATATGAAAAAACTACATTAAAAGATCTACAACCAAAATCTAATCATTTACTAAACGTGTTTATTAACTTTTTTTTTATGAAAGAAAAGATAGAGATCAATTTCATTCATTGGTGGAGTATGAAATAAAGAAACCGCTTGAGCTATGCCTATGCCTAGTGTGGCCTAATTAGCTGAACGGTAAGCAAAATAGAAATATATGACTTCGGATCTTCATCATCATTGGGAGTGCACTTTCTTAATGCGTTTCTTGTCAGGGAGCACTATAGACTATAGAGGAGAGGAGCTTCAAGGTTTTCTTGTTTGCTTTTTTGGTTGTCAATCCTTTCTGATTGAGATGTAAGTAGCTGGTGAACTCTGCTCTTCAACTGTATTGGTCAAGCAAAGAAAATGCATTTAATTAATTAACTGATTATTTCTTACAAATCCTTGCAAGTTTAAATTAGTGCCCAACTCATTTCTGTCCGAAAGGTCCCAACACAATGGTTGATTTGAATATACTCTCTCCATTCGCATTTAGATATTATGACTTTTATGATACATCATAATTCATAAATGGAACGAATACGGACATGCGTCATGTCTACGTTCGTTCCACTTTTGATGTGCCCTTATTGCCAATTACATGTGAATGGTGTATAAGGTTAATGTAAGGGTCAGACGGTCAAGTAAACTGAGCACATGCATACTTCATCAAGGCCAATTTCGCTCTTCACTGAGACGTGTAACGCCTCATTGGGTCCCATTTTTCTGTACTTTACGAGCTCGGGATGATCAATTTTGGCATCTTCTGTTACAAAGAGAAGAGGGCATTGATGGAGCAGGTCACGTTTGGAGACAACGTCAAGCCATATATATATATAGGGGCCGGTTCACGTGAGAATGCACCTTGGTGAAAGAAATAAGAATAAAATCTAGCCTTTGGATCTGATGCATCGTGCGGCTCAGATTGCATCTTGCGCTCAGAATTTGAGGTGGTGCATTTTCAAAGAATTTTGGTGCATTTTGACATGAGGCATTTTCAAACCACTTTGGTGCACCTAATTTTGATGCAATCCTGGCCCTTAGATCTCACAATCTAAAACACGTGATTCATTCTTATTTCTTTCATAAGATTGTATTCTCACCAGAACCAAAGTATGTGTGTGTGTGTATATATATACATATATACATACATACATACATACATACATACATACATACATACATACATATATATATATATATATATATATATATATATATATCCCCTCAGTTCTGAATTCTACTCTAGAGAACAACTAACAATACTATGCTATGCCTTGCAGTATCGTATGTGCAAAGAAGTAATTGAACTATCAAATACGGAGTACTTTGATATACAGAAGCAGGCTACATGCTGTTAAAGTGCATCCCACATCGAAAGTGCAAGAGTAAAATAATCGGTATGTAAGCTCTTGAGTTGAACTAATTAATCGATTGGATTCAATCTTTTAATGTGGTTCAACCCAAGTTTCTTATTACCCAATCCAATGATCCATACCCCATCCTCAATTCTATCACATGCAATGGATGAAAGAGGTAATTTTCAATGAATTTTCTGCATTTATGTGAATTGAATCCTGCCAAGCCCGTAATATTTATGAACACTGGTAGGTGAAAAGCTCCAAAATGATACTCCCTCCGTCCGGAAATATTCATCCCATTTAACTTTTCTTGGTCAAAGTTTGTAAACTTTGACTATGATATGTGGAAAAAATACATTGTATTACGATTTAACTTTAATATGAATATATTCATTTTGAAATATAGTTTTCAAATATCAAGTTTTTATAAAATATATCCATGTATAAATAAAGATATTAGTGATCAAAGTGCAATCTTGGAGACCTAAAAAGTCAATTGGGAAGAAGATTTCCAGAGACGGAGGGAGTAATTAAGAATTAAGCAGTTCCCATATTGGATGTCTGGTCTGATATTTTCTGTGACATCCCATGTTAGATCCGCTGCTAGCGTTTGAGACAAATGATTGTTTTAAGACCATTGATGGGACTTGAACTGTTTTAATAATTGTTTTTAGAACTGTTTTTGACAAATAGTGCGGGGACTTGAACTGATCAAACCATGCTGATTTAATGGAGCAATTCCCTGAATGGGAACTTTTGAGGTAGGAAATTCCACACTCAAACATTTGCATGTTATACATGCGGTTTTTTTTTCTTTTCTTTTTTCTTCAGAAATTTCGCATGTCATACATGCTAAAACATCAACATCAACTTGCTTTTCCAGTTGGTACCACGCAAGTGCAAGCTTTTCACAGTTTTTTTAATTATTTCGCATGTACTACATGCAAAACAAAATGTCACTTTTTTATTAAATAATTTCTCCCCCAAATGCATATATGGTTCCGTAAAAAGTATATAAATAATATTATGTATTTATATATATATAATTTCTTTACATATCATTAAATATGTATTATTGAAATTTTTGAGTATCAACATCAATAAAAAATTTAAGAAGAAAATATGATTAAATATTAATTATAATGAACCAGTTTTAAGAAAGTACACAACATAAAAAACACATAGAAAAAAAGTACAATTATTTTAACACATAATAAAAAAGTACACTTAAAAAATACTTAAAACATAATTATTAATTTGCCCTACGATCCATCTCTCCCGGATAACGATTTTGTTGACGACGTCCTCGACGGGGAGTCTCTTCTAAAGGACGTATCGGTGGCAAGACTTTCCAATCGCCAACATTCAAATTTTCTGGAAAAATGAACGGTTCAATCCAACCACTGTAACAACTTAAATATCTCTGAACAGAGTATTTGTCTGGAACAAGATCATCTGCAAGTTGTTGAAAAGAATGATAAACGCCATGAACATGCACACAAGGAATTCCATCTGCAATCCATTGTCCACACGTGCAAATGTTATTAGCCAAATCCACCATATAATTGTACATAGAACCTGGATCAGAACGAGAAGTATGGCTAACTATATACTGATAGTTACCATAATTTGTAGCTACCCACTTGTGCTTTGTCTTCTCGCGGTGCCGAAGAATTGTTGTGATTTTAGGAGTTCTGTGGATGTTCTTCTGCATCCACTGAACAACAATCTTGTGCCTTTTTTCAAATGATTCAACCATTTTATTGTAGGACATCTTCAGTATTGCCGTAACTGGCATCATCCGACAACCTTTGAGCATATTATTAAAACTTTCTGAACTATTGGTTGTAAGAATTCCACATCTATTTCCACCATCATAACATAGAGTCCATGCCTCGCGCGGAATATCGTTCAAGTACTTATATGCAACTTCATTTGCGTGCCTGATTTCTGCCATGTACTCATTAAATTGTTCGATGTTGGGTGTGCTCCCAGCGGCCCAAACTTTACGTTTAAGGTCACTGTCATGAAATTTATTCATGAAATTGCTGCGGACATGCCTTAGACAATTACGCTTGGTTATGAACCCAGTTTGTAGCTCAGGAAGATCACGATATGCATTGATAATGCCAGCATGCCTATCAGAAATTACACAAACCCGATGCGAACGAATAACTCTTTGAACAAGAAGACAAAAAAATCATGCCTAACTGTTAGATGTTTCCCCGTCAACTACAGCATATGCAAGGGGGAAAAGTTCTCGATTTCCATTGAGCGCCATCGCCAGAAGTAGGTGACCCTTGTACTTTCCGTACAAATGGGTCCCGTCCACCGTCACCACAGGCAAGCAATACTGTAAACCATTAATAGCTGCTGGAAATGCCCAAAATGCATACTTAAAATGCGGTCCTTCGTCCGGGGTAACATTGAGGTTGGGAGGGGGTGAAGAGTAAACAACCTCAACGATTGTTCCTGGGTATGCATTTTGAAGGTTATATAAGATAACTGGGAGGTGCGTGTAAGAGTCCTCCCAACTGCCGTGTAACATCTCTGAAGCATGGATTCGACCCATCCAACATTTTTTATAAGAAAAGTTTTGAAGTATTAAAAGCTAGAAGAAATAAAAAGACCTGGCACCATGTGGGTCACTCCCGGGTACATAATCATCATGCCGGTGTTGGGGAAGAGAGTGCACATCCGGACAAATAGTTGTGATTCGTGCCCAAGCCCAGAGTTAGAGAAGTAGCATACATCCACATGGACGGGAATTATTCACTCGAAGGGATGCCCGACATAAACCACTAAATAATCTTGAAGTACAGCTGAACCCCAACTAAAATTCGCAATCGTGTCAAAATCTCCCAGATATGATACAAAATCTGTAGGTGCAAAGCGGCCAGATGAGTCTGGAAACAAAAGACCCGCCAAATACCCATAGATGACCCGAGCTGTGTATTGCTCCACCTCCCGATTTGTCCATCCAGCATTTGGTTGAACTTGCTGTTCAGGATTTCGTGGAAACAATTCTTTGATCTTAAATTGGTCAGGACGGCCCAGATGTTCATCAAGAAGTGTCCAGTTCAGAGCATGCAAAAAATCATGGTCTCTCTCATCTACGGTGCGTCTCAACCCAAGAAATGCAAATCCGTTAATGGGGAGACCCAATAGACACTCTACATCCTGTAAAGTGATACCCATCTCTCCAAAAGCGAAATGAAAAGCATGCACCTCCGGTCTCCACCGCTCAATGAGAGCGGTGATTAAACCATGATCAAATCTAATCGGGTGCACACGGTGTACCCCATAAAATCCAGCCCTCCGTAAATTTTGGAGAACCCGGGGGTCATGAAAAACAGTAGGGATGCGACTATGATATCTAACTGAAACTAGTTTATTATCGCAAAACTCCTTATGTTTCCACACCCGACTAGAACGATGAGTATTCTGCAAATGTAACATGTCATCTATTCTAGAGCCCGCTATCTCTCTCTCCATCTCTCTTTCTCTTTCCATGTCATCCATTTTTGCACTACAAAAATTAAATAATAAAAATTTATTTTTTTATTCTTAATATTAGTGGATACAAAACATATCTATTTCGAAAAATATATATATTCATGTAAACACTATCTAAAAAAATATATAAAACCTAATTTCGAAAAAAATATTTAAAAGTTAAGTGAAATATACGTAATAAAAAAATACTTGAGAAATGTTGAATGTTATGTAGTAGTGTGAGAATAGATTAAATTTGAAGAGTGTGTAAAGTGGTGGGTGAAGGGGTGGTTTGAATAAAACTATATGAGAAATAATTAAAAAGATACAATATCTTCATAAGTTCGTAAAAAATATATTCATGTAAACACAATATTAAAAAATATATTTATTAAAACACATAATTTTGAAAAAAATATTTTCCTACATTTTTATAAAAAATTTAAAATATTATGGAGCACATAGTTGATAATATATAAACACAATCTATAATCAAATAAAAATGAAAACTAATAAAAACTTAACATTTATAATCAATATTATTAATATTTTAATGTTAACTGAAATATAAGTAATAAAAAAAATACCTGAGAAATGTTGAATGTAATGGAGTAGTCTGAGAATAAATTAAATTTTAAGAGTAAAGGGGTGGTTTAAATAAAGAAAAATGTGAGTGATAATTAAGAAGATGAAGGGGTGGGTGAAGTTAGATGGTTGGGATGGGAGTGGTTGTAATATGTGGTGGAGTGGAAAAGGTGGGGTGGAAAAGTAGTGGAAAAGGTGGATTTTATTGAGTGGTGCCGTGGTGGAGTGAAAGAGGTGGAAGTGGAGTTAATTATTTCCGCATGTAACACATGCAAACTGGAAAAAAAAAAAAAGCTTCTCGCATGTAGTACACGCGGTTTCACTGCAAAGATTACTGACAAATCGTCAGTTCTGAATTTTTTTTTTATATATTTTTTTTTGGTTTCGCATGTACTATGTGCGATTGTCCTTCTGGGGAATTTAATGTTCCACTTTAGGAAATACATTTTCCTTTTTTTCCGTCTGAGGGAAACCACCCCTGATTTAATAGACTGGCCTCACTTTGTTTTCTATATTTGATTGAATTCTTTTTGTTTTAAGGGAAAAGAAAATATTATGGTTGCCACTTGCTATCATGTTCTTGATGTTAAATACTGGACTTTCATCTTATCTCCATTGTAGGGCAGAGATAAAGATTGCATTTTTGTGTCATTTGTGTTGAGATTGATTAATTAAAAAGAAAAAGAAAAAGAAAAAAAAGGAATATGCATGCATACGCACTAATGCATGTGAAGTGAACCCATGATGCCATGCATGTGAAGTGGAGCTTGTCTCGTTCCCTTGGTTTTTGGTGGTGTACGAAAATAATGGGATGGAGATGTTTTTTTGTTGGCCTTAACCTCTTATAAGAGGAATGTTTTTCCTTATATTTGTGTGTGGGTTTACACACGGCTAAGAGAGGGAAAGAGTGTCAAGAGAGAGGTGCTACACAAGATATCACCAATATTGTGTGAGTGTATGTAGGGAGTAACTATTATTCAGTTACTCGAAAATACATCCGAGTGTAGGGTGTGAAAAGTCTATTTATAAGTGTGTGAGATTTAGCACTTGTAAACAAGGAGAGTTTTTTATGTATTGTTCTGAAATAGTGAAGATATAATTTTTCTCTCATATTTTTTCTTGTGTAGTGTGTTTATTTATCGTTCTTGATATTTTAAGAGTCTTACGCGCTTAAAATCCCAACAATTGGCATCAGAGCCAAGTTACATTTGGGGCGGAGGGATTTCTAAGCCGTAAGAGAAGAAAATCGAAGAACTTGAAAAATGGCATCAGTAAAAAGTTCGAATGTTTCTGTCGAACCTTTCGATGGACGTGGCGATTTTACTCTGTGGCAACAACGAGTAAAAAGTGTTCTTACTCGGGAAGGGACAATTAAAGCTCTGAAGGTGAAGGTTCAGATGACAGAAAAAATGACGGATGCTGAGTGGGCCAAACACCGGAAGAACGACAAGCCAGAAAAATTATCGGAAGAAGAGTGGGAGGATTTGAAGGACATGGCAACAAGTACAATATGCTTATGCCTTGCAAATAATACTCTTCGAGAGGTTCTCGGTTTGACGGACCCGGTGGATATTTGGGAGAAGTTAGAGAGCCGGTACAAGTCGAAATCATTGACAAGTAGGCTATATTTGAAGAAACGATTGTTTGGTCACCAAATGGCGGAAGAAGCTAACTTTAATGGACACTTGGATGAATTCAACAAGATAACAACAGAGTTGGAATCCATTGATGTGAAGATTGAAGAGGAGGACAAGGCGCTGCTTTTGTTGGCTTCATTGCCTTCATCTTTTGACAACATCGTGACCACGCTCTTGTTTGGAAAAGAGACCTTAAAATTTGATGAAGTAGTTGTTGCGTTGTTGATGAATGAGACTCGGCGGGGTGGCAACGGGATATCAAATGATGGTCAAGCTTTGGTAGCAAAAGAAGCTGGTCGAAAACGAGGACGGTCTAAAGAGAGGGGCGGCGTGTCCCAACGCTTCAAATCGAGTAGTAAAAGCTTTCGGTGTTACTACTGCGATGAAGAGGGTCATTTCAAAAGGGATTGTCCAAAGAGGAGGAAGGAAAAGAAGGGTGGGAAAACACCCGTGACTGCGGTTGCAGAAAGTTCAAACCAAGCAAGTGAAGAAGACTTGTTTTTGGCAACCACAAAGAGTCTAGGTAAATCGGATTAGATATTAGATTCGGGTTGTCCGTTTCACATGTGTTCAGTTATATTAGTAACAATGTGGGATTTTAGTTTTAAAAAAAGAGAAATATCAAGTAGAAGAACACATAAAAAGAGCTTTTCTTAAATTTATTTGTCCATTTAATTAACTTCTTTGGGAACACCTTCATCATAAAAGCATTAAATTTTGCTCGGAAATAAAAATTAGTTTCTTGTTAACACTAAGAGTAATTTTACTGTTGGTCAATAAGATGTGTTGCTTAAAATTTTTTTGTGGAGTATTATTTTATCCCGTAAGAACCGTTCTTTCAGCATGAAGCAACACTCCTTAAACTTTCATCATTTTTGATTGTCAATTTTGATTTTTCAACGACCACCTTAATTCAAATCCGATAAACAATTGATTAAGAAACATGGGGTAAGTTGACAAAAATAACCTTATAGTAAGAAAAATAACACTACAAAAAAACGCGGAATTGGCACGGCTTTTGGCACGGATTATAGTTTTAGTTTCCCGTGGCTATGCTATTAGGCACGGAGTTTGGCACAGATACGAAACGCTGCCAATTTCGAAGCTCCAAACTGTTTGGCACGGAATCCTAGTTCGTGCCAACGGTAGCGACGGCGTCCCTTGTAACAAATTCGTTCCAAAGTAACGGTTGTAAGAAAAATGTTACAGATATTAGGCACGGCTCTGTCCGTGGCAATCGCCCGTTCCTATTTCAGCACGACTAAACCACGAATTTTTTTGTCCCGATACCATTTATAAAATATTGCAATAGGCACGGGCCGTATCTGTGCCAAAAATGTCACGTAGATATCCGTGCCTTTATTTTGAAACTTTTCAAAATATTAAAAAAAAATTCAAAATTTTCAAATACGCGGGCAGAATAAATTTCGAAATTCAATTTTTTGGTCACGGCCATATCTGTGCCTTTATTTTGGAAAATCACTACGCATGCACATATCAGGCGGTAGATTATACGGTGTAATCATCACAGGCCAACAAGAGTATTGTGCTCCAAACTGTCCATGTGAGGCAAATCCGTCCGTGCAGAGGCCTATACGTACATTGCGCGGTTCACACGCAAAATAGGGATGACAACGATCAAAGTGTTTCCATGCTTCAGAATCTGACGGATGACACATTAACCCAGTTTCAGTTTCATGTTCAACATGCCAGGTCATGTGTTTTGCAGTGACAGGCGAAGCATACAACCGTTGTAAGCGCTGAATAAATGGTAGATATATCAGTTTTGATCTAGCACGGCGCTTGCGAAGCTTACCTCGTCTTTCGCTCGTAGGCTTGTATCTAGACTCCCCGCAAAATTTGCATGTGTCCAGTTGTTCATCATTTTTCCAAAACAACATACAACCAGCAGGACATGCATCAATTTTAACTACTGGGAACCCTAGCTCAGAAATCATCTTCTTTAAAGTATAAAAATCTGTAGGTAAATTATGATCTTTTGGTAACCACGCTCCAACAGTTTGTAACCATCTAGACATACAGGCCTCTGGGAGATGCAATCCGACTTTATGCTCAAGATTTCTGACACGGCAGCTAATGTCGATTTCTCATCGCAATCAGGATATAACGGCTCGTCAGTTGCCTTCAACACTTCTAAAAATTGATCAGAAAATGTATTAATATCGTCAGTTGATGAGACGATGAGCTCGGAACATCATTAAAATTTGAAGATGCAGGAAAAGCAGTAGGTGCCATGGCATCATACACAACCCGTTGGTCCCAAGTCATGTTCTCATAATTACCCCATGCAGAAACCGACTCTAGAACTACACGTGAACTGCCAACTGTCTGAGGAAAATATGACGGATTCAATACTTCGCCATGACAATACGAAGTATAATAATTCTCAATAAAACCTTCTGTGTATAAATGCCAACGCAAGTCGTCTTCAGTAACAAAGTACATATTTTTACATTTCCCACAAGGACATCGAATTTTCTCTCTGTCAAGAAATTTAGTTTGGGCACTTGCAAATGTAATAAATTCTTCTACACCATCAAGATATTCACGTGTCAAACCGCGTTTAATCAAAGCATTTTTGTTGTGCATCCAACTTCTAGATGATATAGACATAGTACCTGAGTTACAAGTGCTAGAAAAATTAAAATTTTTAAAAAATAAATCAGACAAGAATAATTTTATATCCAAAAATCAATGAAAAAGACAGAATAATTTTAGGCACGGACTAAGCACGTCCACAGTCGTGCCAACGGTGCTGGTACACAATCAAAATCAAATCATGTCAGGGAATCTTCACTAGGCACGGTTATTGGCACTCTACCCGCCGTGCCTAGTACGGAATGTCACTAGTTTCAGAATTTTAAAATATTTAACTGTAATAAATATTTTAAATATCAAATCTATATATTAAAATGAATTCAAATTTACAAAATGTGCATTATTGTAAATAAATCATCAACTAACTATATTTATTGGCGAGATAGAAGATGTTTTTTCACGTAAATTATGTATAAATATTAAACACTCGCGTAAAGGATGAAATGAAATTAAAACGCCAAAAAAACATATTACACACATACTTACTGAAATGAAAGTTCATATTACACACACTTATTGAATAAATGTAATGAAATTAAAAATCCAAAAATATATCGTACCTGGATGGATGTAAGGAAATGGAAATACTCCGTATGTTTCTGGATGAAATGGTTTCGTATATAAAGAAATGGTGAACTGCAATTATTGCAATGTGAACTACTTCCAACTACTTTATAGTACAAAAACTTTATATTCCCTCCGTCCCAAAATATAAGCAACATTACGCTAAACGAAGTAATTTTTTGAATTTTTTCAATCCATTTTATTTAAAGAATGGTCTACAAATAAAAAAAATTACATATTTAAAAACTACGTCAAAAGTTCTGCAAAATAAGTGGTGACAAGAATATTTTATTCTATCAAATAATCAATGAAAATGCAAAAATAAATAAAAGTTCCCGTGATTTTTAAATAGTGGAGTGTTGCTTATATTTTAGGACGGAGGGAGTAGAAAACTTTAGTACAAAAACTTTAGGATGTAGTAGTTTTATTTGGATAAGTACGATAGATGTAGATATTTTATTTGGATAAGTTTTTATAATTTCCTATTATTGTAGTTCTTTCTTTATTTCATCTAAAAAAAGTTGTATCATGTACTTTTTTCTAATTTTAGTCTTGTTATCTTCCGATTTTAATATATTTAAAAGATAAAAGTTTTTTGTTATGAGTATGATTTAAATGTTTAAATAAATAAAATTATGTACTACGGAGAGTGGCACAGAATTAGGCACGACTATTTCCATGACAAAACAGTCTTGTCCTTTTCGATTTTGAATTTTATGAGAAAGGTAAGGAATTGGAACGGCTAAATCCGTGCATATGAGTTAGAATAAACGCCGTCCGACAACACCGTTAACGTCTTAACGTTTACGCGATTGGCACGGAATTAGGCACGGACAAATGCAGAGCCAAATTAAAACGCAAATAGAAACACGCCATGTGTCATCTTTCTTTTTTTCGGCGTAGGCACGGAATGTCCGTGCCTAATATGTCGTGCCAATCCCGGGATTTTTTTGTAGTGGTTAAGGAACAATTTGATATGTATCAAACTTGTGATGGGGTGCTGTGAAGATGGCAAATGGTGCACGGAGCAAGATTGCGGGGGTCGGAACAGTGCAAGTTTGCATGTTTGATGGTGTGGTGAGAACATTAACTGGAGTGAAACATGTACCGGGTCTAAAAGGAAATTTGATTTCTTTGGGGGCTTTAGATTCAGAAGGCTGCTGAATTTTTTCTCAAAAGGTGGAGCGTTAAAAATTTCTAGGGGAGCAATGGTGGTAGCAAAAGGAGTTTTGTCAAAAGGCTTGTATAAACTTGTTGAAAAAGATTTGACACGGAAGCTGTCAGAAGGAAAAATTACAAGTGCAAGAAGCGGAGCATTTGCATGGAAGAAGCGGGTGACGTTTGAAGCTTCTCGGATTGGTGGATACTGTGACCTCGCCAGAACGAGCGGGCTGGAGCCGGACCATGGTTTGATTAATTAATCAAGGTGGAGTTTGTTGAGATTGATTAATTAAAAAGAAAAAGAAAAAAAGGAATATGCATGCATACGCACTAATGCATGTGAAGTGAACCCATGATGCCATGCATGTGAAGTGGAGCTTGTCTCCTTCCCTTGGTTTTTGGTGGTGTACGAAAATAATGGGATGGGGATTTTTTTGTTGGCCTTCACCTCTTATAAGAGGAATGTTTTTCCTTATATTTGTATGTGGGTTTACACACGGCCAAGAGAGGGAAAGGGTGTCAAGAGAGAGGTGTTACACAAGATATCACCAATATTGTGTGAGTGAGTGTAGGAAGTAACTATTATTCAGTTACTCGAAAATACATCCGGGTGTAGGGTGTGAAAAGTCTGTTTATAAGTGTCTGGTATTTAGCACTTGTAAACAGGGAGAGTTTTTTATGTATCGTTCTGAAATAGTGAAGATATAATCTTTCTCTGATATTTTTTCTTGTGTAGTGTGTTTATTTATCATTTTTGATATTTTAAGAGTTTTACACGCTTAAAATTCCAACAATTTGTTAGGTCAGATGAAAACCCAAAGGGGGTTCAACAGGTAACGGCTTTTGTAAAAGTTAAGAATGGTTGACTACAATTGCCAAAGCCTCATGATTCAGGGACTAAAGTAGAGCAATTTATCCATCTTTTCTCATGTTATGGAGAAACATTTGCGTACAAAATAAGTATTTAATCCATCCTAGCTAGAATATTTTATTAAGACGAGGAATTTGTGGTTCATTTTTTTTCTTAAACATAAATTCTAGTAAATAACATTTGAAAAATCTTACTCTCTCCGTCCCAAAAAGATTTACACGTTTTAAAAAAATTGCGTCCCACAATCTCTTACCCATTTCTATTAAAAAACCACTTTTACCTCTTACTTTTTCAAACCCTACCTATCACATCATACCTTTTTCCTAATAATCTACACATGACATTCTACTTTTACCCATTACATCAAGGGTATTTTTGGAAAGTCAACACAAAATTATCACTACCTTAATTTCAATTTTAGTCAAAATGGGTAACACTTGATGGGACGGAGTATAAGATAGAGAAAGTATTGCAACTATAACAACAATAACAATAAAAAGGCGTACAAAATAAGCATTTAATTAAGCATATATGGTGACTACTGGGAGATGGGATTGCCTTGGGCGTCCAAAATGGTGGCAGACGGTGGGCGACTGGTGGCCGCCGGCAGATCAGCACCGCCATTGGGGGTGGCGGCATAAGAGGAGGGTGGTGGTTGCTGTTCATCATCATGGTTATGGGATGATGATAGCTTGGCTTCGTGGAGAGCAGCCTTATCAGCAGCTTTGGCCACATGAAAATCCATTTCTGCTTCTTTTTCTCTCGCCATTCTCACCTCGTGCGCCACTTCCACTCTTGCTTTTGCATATTCTTTCTCTGCCTGTTCCATTTATTTTTTTTAAAATAATACTTTGTAAAAGAGATATATGTAAATATCTTATTCCCTCCGTCTCAAATTAAATTTCATGTTTACTATTCACAGGATCAAACTTCATTCATTCTCAATCTCTAAGTTCGTTAGTCATTTGAAAAAACAATATAATCATGTCACTACTAGTGTGTATAGTAGATCTTTTGATCTAGTTTTTAGATATTTAATTTTTATTTTATAATTCTACACCATTTTTCATATAAAATGATTTGAAAATAATTTCAATCAAATATCGTAAATCGAAATAGGCAATTTAAATTGGGACAGAGGGAGCATATCAAAACAAGATTCTTTATATTTTTATCTGCTAAATGTGAATGTTGTATATAAAGTGAAACGTCACATTTTGCAAATGAAATCTATCTAAATAAAACTATAATATTAAACTTATACTCCCTCCGTTTCTTAAAACCCTTCTTCTTTCATTTTTTTTGTTTTTCTTAAAACACTTCCCATTTCTATTAAAAAACCATTTTTACCCCTACTTTTTCATACCCTACCTATCACATCATACTTTTTCACTAACAACTAAACTATCACATCTTACTTTTACCCATCACATCAAGGGCAAAATTGGAAAGTCAACTACAATTTAACACTAACTTATTTTTCCCCAAAGTCAAAAGAGGAACCGTTTTGAGAAACGGAGAGAGTATTAGAATATGGAGTTACATTTGATGTATTTATCTCTTAAATATGGAAGTTGAATTGTGCAATGCTACAACTTGATATTGTATATTTTTACAATGGGCTTTTTGCAACAATACACTAGAAATGTTTGTCTCTTCCAAATAGGGTTGGACACGAATCCAGTTTGGAACCAACATCAAACTTGTTAGAAAAGGTTTTGGTTCTGGTTCTTAAATTTTGGTACCAAAACTGGAATGGGAATTGTTACAGAATCGGAAACGGTTTATTTTGTTGTGTTTTTATGTTTTTATGCTTAATTTGTTTGAGCTTAATTCACAATATCTATGATCAATACAAGAGTTTAGAGTCAATTATAGGGAAAATAGCACCATTGCCTCCCGTGGTTTACAAAAAGGGTGTCAAGACCCCCTCTGTTTTCAAAAGTTATTTATAAAGTCCATATGGTTTCTAAATAGAGCACACATGCCCCCCTTACCTATTTTTAAAGCAAAAATGACATTTATGCCCTTTCTTTTTCTCGATCTTGACTTTTCCCTATTTTATTTTCCTCTATTATACAAATATATAAAATAAAATATACGCTTCTCATCTCAAATTAAAATTTTTCATAATGTATTTTTGGAAAAAAAGATTTTTTTTGGAGAATGTTACAAAAGAAAATGAAAAATAAAATGTTATGTATAAAGTAAAAATAATAATTGAAAAAGGTAATGGAAAGAAAGAAAAATATGAAAACAAACTTTTCCTTTAACTCCTTATTTTATTTTATCTTTTTGTTTTTCATTTTTTAAAGTCCTTTGAAAATTATTTTACTTTTACTTGTAATGAAAAGGTGTATTTTATTTCCTTTTTTAATTTTTCATTTTCTTTTGTAACATTTTCTAAAAAAAATTATTTTTTTGAAAATTAAATAAATGAAAAATTTTAATTTGAGAAATGGGGCGTATATTTTATTTATTTATTTGTATAACAAAAAATACAAATAAAAGAGTGAAACTTGAATGTAGAAAAAAATAAAGTGCAGAAATGTCATTTTGTGTCTAAAATAGGCAAGATGGGGCGTCTGTGCACTATTTAAAAACCACAAGGGTTTTACAAATAACTTTTGAAAGTAGTGGGGGTTTTGGTGCTCCTTTTGTAAACCACGGGGGACACCCATGCTATTACTCCGTCAATTATATAATTTCTTTTTACCAAAAAATTTATAAAAAAGAAAAGATCGAATTGGAACCATGACTAGAATCGGAACCGCTTGGGAACAAGAACTGCCTGAAACTGTCCCTACCCGGTACTGGTTTTGGTTTTCCTAAAATGGGTACTAGAATGGGTACCGGAATTGCGGGTTCCGAAACTAGATCCGTACCTTGTCCAGCCCTAATTGCAAAGACAACTTGAATTTTGTATTAGCAAATAAGAAACGTATACCTTTTCTTCCTCCTTGGCGGCGGCCTTGGCCTTGCGAATGGCGTTCATGTCGCTCAATTTTTCCTTGATGGCCTGCATTTTTCTTTCTCTTTAATAATAATAATAATAATAGGAATAATTAATGTGGTTAATTAATTAGGTGCCTTTTGGATTAAGCTAAATAAGATTAACAGAAGAGGAATGATGTATGTGTGTATATATTAAGATTTGTATTGGGATGATGGGATATGCCATTTTGTTATTGTTAGTGTAGCTTAGCTATCGCAATTCAATGGCTCCATTTTCATATCTCATTCCGCTAACAGTGGCCGCCCCTCCTTCCCCCAACAACACCTATATTTTATATGGTTAAAGGTTTTAAACTTTGGCTTCACATTATCAAAAAAAAATTGAATTGTGATATACAAAGTACATACTCCGTAGTAAATTTAATATCAATAAATTCATGTTGAAATGTAGTTTTTATCATCATATTTTTATAATTTATAACAACAACAACACAAGTTACAGTATTTATATTTATATATAAATAGAAATATTAATGATTAAAATATTACATTTTAGACCGTGAAAAATCAAATGTGAATAAAGATTTGTGATTGAAAGAGCATTAATTTCTGCTAGTAATATATTCCGTACTCGGTATAATACTACCTAGTTCCCCTCCATAAAAAGATCATATCTGATTTTTATGATATTTAAGAAAACTATTTAATAAAAAAGAAATTGTTCAAAAAAAAGGAAAATGTGAATGTTTTGTTTGCAAAACAGAGGTATAGTTTGACATTTATGAGAATAAATGGGTAAACATCAACTGAAACTTTTTTATTTGAACATCACGCGTTCAATTATTTATCCACAAAGTTATATACCGAGACGTGGCATCATATTATAACGTCATTCCAAATTGAGGCCTCTACATAGCACTCTAACTCTTGATAAAACTTCACCCCGGCCTGACCCTAAACCACCCTTCAATTGTACCTTTCAATGTAGAAGTTAATGATATAATTTAGGATGGATATGGACAACTGGATTGAGTAATAAGACACTTGACAAACGATTAGTTAAGAGCTTATATACCGATTATTTTGCTCTTGAACTTCCGATGTGGGATGATATTCTAACACTCTCCGTCAAGTGGACAACCTAGCCATTTTGAATCTAACCGGTTGACCACTTGCAAATGAACTCTCATTCCCTTGACTTTTTTTTTGAGCGCCAACACCTAAAGGACCACGAGTCGCTGAGTATGGACTTCCAGACGAGCAATTGTGTTAAACGGGCCACAGACCGTTGGGTACATACTCCATATGGACAACTGGGCTTAAGACTAACAGGCCGCTAGGAATGAACGTCTAAACAGACACCTTGACAAACGAGATGGGCCAAAACCTGCTTTGATACCATGATAGAATTTAGGATGAGTATGGACAACTGGATTGAGTAATAAGACACTAGGGTTGAACCATATTAAAAGATTGAATCTAATCGATTAGTTAATTCAACTCAAGAACTTATATATCGATTATTTTGCTCTTAAACTTCCAATGTGGGATGATATTGTAACAATTAACTTTAAGGTGATGGAATTAAATCCGAAAATGAACTAAATTTGAGGGGAGTGGCTTGGACTCATAATCTAGTACTACACTTTCATGTCATTTTTAACTAAAATATACTCATTACACTTCAATCCTTCTCTTTCATTTTGTTGCTATATTCGGATCAAAATGTGCCCTCAACCCAGCACTTTCCAACGACTCTTAAGTCCAAATTTTCCACAATGTCTATTTATTTTTCGTGTGCATACTAAAACGATGTGGTATTATTTTTAAACCCAATATTACTACTAATATAAATAACGTAATGGGACTAATGGCTCTAGAATTACTTGCTTCGATTGACATTACGGTGTTACTGTCTTTTTAAGATACTCATGGTGTTTCTTACATAAAATTAATATAGTACTAACTCCCCATAAAGCCTCCCAACTTAGTCTAACCGCCCAATCCTAATCCATCCTTCAACCCTTTCAATTTCATCCCCAAAATTTATTTGATTTTAAGGAAAATTTTTTTTACTCAAAATTAACTAAATTTTAAGCTTAAAATTGAAGGGGTCTCGAGCCACTCAAACTCGTCTCAAAGTGAAAGCTCTAGAATCCCCCACACAAATTATTATGTTATCATGAATAATGAGTGACATAATGTTTTTTTAAAAAAAAATGAGTGACATAACATGCATCCAAGAAAATCATTGGCATACGTTTCAGTTTAGTTCAATTAATTACGGAGTACTTGAGTAGATCCTTCAAAAAATTATTTGAAAAAATTTCTCTAAATGATGTTTGACTAAAATTATTTTCACTTTAATTTATTTAAAAATTGAGATAGAATTAAAAGTTAAAAATTACATATTTATAATCTAAATCAAAAGTTTTACTTCGGGTACGAAACAAGAGGAGACATAACTATATTAATTTCTCAAATGAGTAAGTAAAAAAGTAAATTAAATTTGACTCTGTGAAATAATGAACAGGCAACTTAAATTGGAATGGAGAAATACAAAATATTGGTGCGTAATCCTAAAAAGACCAAATATTTGGGCTCTTAATAAAACTATTCATCCATAAGCCTTTATTTTGAGTAACATAAGTGATTCGTTTATCTTAAACACAATGTTAATCAACACAACAGCCATCACAATTACTTAGCTCCCACGATAAGTGGAGAATGAGAATGGGGAAAGCAAGAGAGGAACATGAAAATGCTCCCATTTCTGAGACTCCCTAACCTCAAACGCAATGGAGACGAAGGGGAAAAACCCTTCAGGATTATACTTCCCCGTGTCGAAGCTGATCCGATACACTCCCGGGTCCAACTCCTCAACCAATCCCATCAACTGACCGGACCGGCCATCTTTGTCTGTAGCCGAGGACCCTACGGGTATCCAACCACCTTGATCAGCTTTGCCAGAGTGGGGCCCAGGTCGGAAGTTTCCTTTCCACACCTCCAATAGCACTTCAACACCATTGGCAGGGCAACCGCGTGCAACGTCAAGAATGTGAGTTGTGATGGGAGGACGCGTCCTTTGTGGAAGATGAGACAGTGGTTTCTCTGTTTGACCTCTGCCAGTTCTACCTATCAAATGTGATCCGATGATGTTCACACGATCTTCTACAATCAAATTTCAACCACAGTGTGACTACTATTGTAACAACAACAACAACAACAACAAACCCAATAAAATCTCAAACAAAGTAGTCTAGGAGTGTGAATGTATGCCGAACTTACACCTACTTGGAAGTAGAGAGGCTGTTTCCGAGATACCTCCAGCTCAAACACAAAAATATAGGCAAGCAAATCACATGTAGTATCAAAATCTTACTACATGTTGTATGAAATAGATACAATTGTCCATCTTTTTCTATATTTGAAAGATACTTTGTATTTTTTTTTTTAAAGAGCTAATTGATAGATAGAAGTATTTAGACAAAGCCTTCAAGGCGTACCATCTAGAATAGTCATTGAATGAGCAATTCAATAAGAAAGCTGAGAAAATCACCTTCTACTTTAGATGCATCTGTATATAGAGGGGCTTTAGACACAGTGGCGCAATCTACTTCAGCTAAAAAGAGTTTGGCCAACCGTAACTCAGTTATTTTCATTTGCTCCCCGGCAGCTATTTCAAACTCAATAATAGGTCTGTTTTCATAACGTCTCTAGCCATCACACAAAACTTCAACGGTTTAAGCATCGTATAATCAACAGAGCATATGAAGACAAAGTACGAGCCGGCGAGGATGTAAAAAAGGATTCAAAGCAGAAGTGTACCTTCAACTCAGCAAGTATTTCGGCAGTACTTCTTCCAGAAGCACATATCAAGAAGACAAATCCAAACTTCTCCATGTACCGAGCATTCCACTCGTTTAGTTCCTGTAAACAGCACAAGTAAGAGAATTAATGAGGATTACGCCTTGCTCTGGTGTGGATAATCACCAAAAAAAGAAAATGAGTGTCATAGGATTTGCAACCAAATTTGGTTAGGTTCGATCATTACAAAACCTGCAAGCTAGAACCAGTGGCAGTGGCTAGAGCTGTTGCCTGCTCTCCCTCGCTCCACCTGGGGAGGGAAACGAGTGAACTGTCTAAAGTTTGCTTTAAATATGCTTTTGGGTACGTTGGGAACTTTGATAATGCTAGGAAACAAATCTAGACATGAAATTTTGAAGGACAGAAAATTTGAGGGAAAATAAAAAGTTGCTTCAAACTCAATATACCAGTACAAATTTTAGGTATTTTTCTGACATGGATTCATCATCATCAACAACGATAAAAACTCAGTAGAATCACACGAATTGTCGGACTCATCATGTTTACATTTTTTTTCTTAAATGAATAGTAAGAACTATTAATATTTATGTAAAATTTTAACTTGTTTTAAATCAAATTTGATATTCTTTCATTTCTCAAAGGTAAATTTAATGTTTTCTCCTTCTTAAAGAGGAACGGTGCATTCAAATTTCTGCATTTTTTTAAAACTTCTGCAGAGTAAACAACAAAAAAGGAAGAAGCATATATTGATATATTCACACATAAATTAGATGAGAAATACTGTGCACTAGTGGGGCTTTTATGATTCTGCGACGGCATATGGCCGATTTGGGGATGAGCAGAGAAAGCTTCGAGCCACCCGTTTATATTGACCTGAGAAATCAAACAAACTGAGATCAGTCATGTATAACTGATTGTGGAATTCGAGAAAAATACGGATGAATAGGGCGAAAGATGAAAAGAGGCGAGGCGGCGGAGATGCCTTGTTGAACCAGATGTCTCTGGCAGCAGTTACGGCGGCGGCGCAGTCGGAGAAGGGAGCGGCTGAGGCCATTTCTCTGGCAAATCTGGTGCTCCCGCAGCAAGCAAGGAAATCTTTCTCCTCATACCTCGACGCCATTTCTCGACCTCTTTGGTGATTTTCTGATTTGCGTTAACAGTTTTTAAAAAAACAAATCAAACTCTCAATTTTATACTCTATTGGGTAGGGGAGAGCATCGGTTCGGTTCGGTCGGTTTCGGCCCAAAACCGAATTAACCGAAAATAGAAATTACTCAGAATAACCGACCGAAACCGAATTAGTGTTGAAACCGAACAAACCGAACCGAGGAAAACCGATCGGGTTCGGCCGGTTTGAAAAAACCAAAAGCTTCATCCCTAAAAGGCTAAAACCTATTGCATACTGGATGCTGCAAGAATAGAAGCATATTATCTTATGATTCTTATCCCAACGAAAAGAAGAAAAACAATTAGAACCCGGACCACATATTGGTGGACACATACACCCACACAAAATCGAAAACAGGCAATCGGCACAGGAGTTTACAACCGACGGAGAAGGTGAGGTAGATCCGGCGATGATTGAGTCGAGGTTTTAAGGAAGGAGACGGGCGGCGGACGATGTAAGGAGTCCAGGTCTTGAGGTAGGAGACGATGGAGTCGAGGTCTTGAGGTTGTAACTTTCCCTGTAAAATATTTGGGTTGGGAGACTAATGACGGAGATGGTGAGGTAATGACTAGTGACCTGCCCACTTTGGAATTTTAAAGTAATGGACTGGGCTGTAGCTGAAAATATTTGGGTTGGGCTTAGATGTATTTAATAAATATAATATGGGCTCGGTTATTCGGTCGGTTTCGGTTAACAAGGCCCAGAACCGAAACCGAAACCGACAACCCGAATTAACCGAATATTTTAAATATTAAAACCGAAAACCGAAACCGAATTCAAAATTGCGGTCGGTTCGGTTAAATTGAATCGGTTAATCGGTTGGTTCGGTTAAATTGCTCACCCCTACTATTGGGCCCTAAAAAAAATTTGTTTTGACTTTTTTAGTAGAATATTCATATTCTTTGACCATAAATCATAAAAAAAATATATTTAATTATAATATAATTTCAATATAATTAGATTCATGATATAAATTTTGATATATCAAATTTTTTATATTATTTATTTATTTAGATTATGTTTAATTTATGATAAAAAAGAGTCATTATTGACTTAAAAAATCAAAGTAAGAAAGATTTTTAGAACAAGAGGGAGATTTTGACATCTAATTTGACAAAATTGATGTGAATCAAGATGACACGATTTATGACGGAGGGCCAGATGAGGAAACAAGAGAACGTCGGGACTATTTGACCGGATTGCAGAACAATTTCTGAAATTCACTGGCCATAAAATGGTCGACCGTCATACTATACAGTCAACTTTGGGACTGTTTCTGATAGAAGATCGAAAAACGGTATATCATTGATACACAACAGTCGATTGTCACGATACCGAGCAATGGACTCTAAGTATTGGGGCGGACAACGATTCACCTGCTAGACTGTGAACAGGAAATGGGCAACTGTTTCAGGACAGTTAGGGTTCTGGAAATTTCCTACTTTAGCATAATTCTAATGATGACTTTTTCAAATAAATTGAAATTTTTTCAAGGTATGTTTTGGTTGATTTTCAGGATCAAGGTGGGTGGAAGAAGCCAAAAAAGATTATCTTTGAAGATTTTACTAAGATAATTACTATTGTTATTACATGGTAATTTTGAAGGTAAGATTAGATTAAAAAGATTAATTATTTCTCTTTGATATCTCCTAAAGTGTGATTTATATTTTTAGTAAATTTTAATTTGATTAAGTTTCTAGTCTAGTTAAATATCTTGCATGTAAATAGGCTTTGTATTTACATTTGTAAAACATGTTGAATTTGAATGAAAATTGTATGTGTTTGAAAATCTTGTGTCGTTATTATTTTGATCATGTGTGGATCGAGAAATTTGTAAGAGTTTCGATAACGTGCAAGTTATCAAACTACACCTATGAGGTTTCCACGGGCGCACGACGTCTCGTGAATGCGCAAAAGTCATAGACTAGCGAGTCTTTAAATTACCTTATCTATACGTCTCTTTACACGGATGATATCTCGGAAAAAAGGAATAGGCCAACTTCTGTCGGGTTCAATCACATAAAATATGGTTAAATATATTTTCTAAAATATTATTAAATTCAATCATCTCTCTGTAAAATATAATTTTAAATGTTTTTGTAAATATAGGTTAATGTTGTGGTAGTTCCTTCTACCACAACAGAGTCACTGTATATAGGTTTACATGTACCAAAACAAATTACTTTGGACTTAAAAATTTATAAAAGTACCATACATAATATATCTAGTTTTGTATGGACCAAAATTGTATTCAACATTAACTCAAAATATAAAAACATTAGTGTGGGGATCATTTGCAAACTAAAATATTTATAAAGATGAATTAATAAAAAAATTATTTAGAAGATATAAGAACAAATGTTGCTCATTTTATATATACAAAAAAAATATAATTAACTCTTTTGCAGATTTTGTTTCTCAATCAAATAAAAAAATATAGTCAATATTGATAAAATAAAATAGTTTTTTAAGAATATTTTACAAGATAAATAAAATTAAATTATTTTTACGGTCCAAAAAAAATTATTTTTATACAGATATATAACACAAAATATATATTTTATTTAATTAATAAAAAATTTTGTTCATTTTAACAACAAAATGTCAATCTCAAGTCTCAACGAACATAACTCTAATAATGAAAAAAAAGAGGTGTTAACTTATAAGAAACGGGCTGACCGGAGCCTGCTTATAACTACATTTTGGATCTTGCCCGACCATGCTGAAGTGCCCACCCGTCTCTGGCGTCCCATTTATCTACGCCTAGTAAAACACCTATTTAAGATTGGGCCAGTTTTTTGTCACTCAACTAAGAAAGCCCAATTTGTTTTTTTTTTTAAAAAAACCTTACTTCCTTCGTCCCAATTTAAATTGTCTGTTTTGCCTTTTAGACATATTTAAGAAAAATAAAAAATAGAGTTGGTTTTTCGAAATTGACATTACTTTTTATGAGGGGTGATGATGAATAAGAAGATAAGGTGAAGAAGTGTGACTTATTTTAGGAGTAGTTTAGGTATTTTATTTTTAAAAGTTTACGAAAACAACTAACAGGCAACTTATTTTGGGACGGAGAAAAAAGGAAAACAAGCAATTTAAAATGGGACGGAGGGAGTACTAAATTGATGTACTACTTCTACCAATGTTATTTTATGTTGGTGTTTACTAAATTACTCTTGATAAATACTTCATCCATTTTTTAACTTTTTTCTCAATTATTATTAAAGGATCAAACTTAAATCATTTTTTCAATTATTTTCATTAGTTATTTGATAAAATAATATAATCACATCACTTCTTATTTTGTAAAATTTTTATGTAGTTTTTAAATATACTTTTATTTTACACTTATAATCAAATAAAATAAACTAGAATAACTTCGATCAGTTAAATCTCATAAACCGAAATATGAAAAATATTTTAAGACAAAAAGAGTAGTATTTAACTTAGAAATCGTTCATTTGGAGATATCTATAAAAGTTTGGAAATAGTTTTGCAAATATTTTAATTTGTTAAAATGGAGAAAAAAAGTGGGTTTAACTTATAAATACAGCAAAACAATCACCAACTAAGTTATAAGTTCAAATTAACCCCCTCCAGCCTACATATATGGATAATGGATTGACAAATTTTCTACTAGAGCTATGGCACTCTAAGTACATCGTGGTATATATATGATGTATAATCTGTGACAAGGGATGTCCTTCGTCACAAAGTACTCCCTTCGTCACAAGCTTTCTGATGTTTAATACTCCGTCTGTTCCTTAAAACAACTCCCATTTTGACTTTGGACCAAAATAAGGAAAGTGTAATTTTGGTTGGCTTTCCAATTTTGCTCTTGATGTGATGGGTAAAAGTAAAATATGATAGTTTGGTTATTAGTGAAAAAGTATCATGTGATAGATAGAGTAGAAAAAAGTGAAATTTGCACTAAATAGGACTAAAACATAATGACTTTCCTAATGTAGGACTTAAACTTTTTTATTCTCTAAATAGGACTTATTAATGACCTAGTGGAAGAAATAATGTCCAGTAATGATGAATATTTAGTTGAATAATGACTACTTGATAATGACCAAAGGTCCTACATTGGGAAATAAAAACATATGGTCCTATATTAGAAAAATCATTATGTTTTAGTCCTATTTAGGTAAATTTCTCTAGAAAAAAGTAGAAGTAGAAGTTGTTTTTAATAGAAAGTGGAAGTGTTTTAGAGAATCGAAAAAAATCAAAAGGGAAAGGGTTTTATGGAATGGAGGAAGTAACTTTTTCTGATTTCGCCTTCAATGCTGCTTGGTGAGCAACAACTCCATTGTTGGATACTTCTTTTTAAAATCATTTTGATCGATAACTAATCCTTTTAGGATTCGCTAATCTATATCTTGTACTGAGTTTATACTCCCGACATCTCAAACTGAATTACAATCTCCCATGTACGAGACAAAATTTTACAATTTTCAAAATTAGTTAATTTATAAATTAGTGTATGAATAATTAATAAAATTAATGCGAAAATAATAGTGTATTCTATCAAATAATTAATGAAAGTGGACAAACAAATATGGAGTATAAGTTATCACGGGTAGGTTCTAGAAAAATTATAATCCAATTTGACACGAGAGAGAACATATGAGAAATTAATGAGAAACATAATCTCGTACAAGAATAGCTAATTTATGTATGAGATGATTAATGGCTAAACAATTGCCCTTAATATTAGAGTCCACACTTTGATTTCATTAAATTTAAAGAATCCGTAGTAAATAACATCCACTCGTAGGAAAAGTAAACCTAAACCATTGTACAAATTAGACATGCACCTTGTTTTTGGGTGCGTTGAAAAGGGAGCTACCAACGCATATAACTAATGTAACTATATACTTTTTCATGTAATTAAATTACTTATTATTGTAATTCTTGAGTTTTTTTAATATTATACACGAAAGAAAATTAAAGCTAAAATTTATTCATTATTGATCCGCTAGCAATGGGGTCGGATAAGGTTCTATCTATGAGTTTTAATGCAAAGAGCCATTATGCCAATAACTCTACCCTTCAGGTATATAAATTTGTATATGCATGGGGTGTGTGTGTATATATGCACCTCCTCTTTCTTTTTTGACTCATCAAGAAATCAAATTAATCATAAGCTCTAATTTGTGATAAAAAAATTCAAGAAAAACATTGTAATCTAATACTTTCCCACATGTGTATGTGTTAAAAGTAAATAACATTTCCTGGACCATAATCACAAGATTCTACTTTTGCTTAACTTTGTTTCTTGACATGGTATCAGAGCCTTATAAATTAAGAGGATACACGTTCGAAATTTAGAGCCATTCAGTTTTGAAAAAAAATACTCCCTTCGTTCCAAAAAGATTTACACGTTTGAAAAAAATTGCGTCTCACAATCCCTTACCAATTTCTATTAAAAAACCAGTTTTACTCCTTACTTTTCCAAACCCTACCTATCACATCATACCTTTTTCTTAATTATCTACACATCACATCATACTTTTACCCATCACATCAAGGTTATTTTTGGAAAGTCAACACAAAATTATCCCTTCCTTAATTTCTACTTTAATCAAAATGTACCCATCTTTATGGGACGGAGGGAGTAAAATTTTACGTGCAAAACTCGAAAAAGACTACACATGCACGTGAGGGGATGTTTTATAATATAAATAACAATTTTTGAACCACAATCACAAGTTTGAGCTTTTGGTTGAGTTGGTTTCTTGATAATATACATGAAGCAAGAAAAAGAGCATAACCATATTTGATTGAATTTGTTTTTAATTATATTTGATTGAATACTAATGTAAAATTGAGAATTAAAATGTACTCTCTACCCCCGTTTTATATTACCTAGTTTAGTTTACAATATTTGATTAAAATTATTTTCTATTTAATTTATAAGACAATTGAGGTGAAATAAAAAAGTAAAATTTATATATTTAAAGCAACATCAAAAGCTCTATGAAATAAATGATGACATTATTATATATACTCTCTTTGACCCTAAAATCTTTTCTTCTTCACATTTCACTTATTACTTATTCTTATTAGAATGAGATCAGAAATGAAATAATTTTTAAATATAACCACATGAGATCAGATCAAAACTCATTCTAATGAACATGTAAGATCATATGAAGAGAAGATAGCCTCAGTCATTGGCGGATGCACATTTCTTTTAATGGGGGCACTTGCCCCCAGTGACTTAAAAAAAATTCTAATAAATACTTTAATTTTATTTTAAATTTCAAATATGCCCCCACTAAAAAAATATTTGGCAATAACATGTCCACATAAATTTTGCAAAACTCCATGCATTTGTGTAAAAAGGGGGCCGGGAGTCAAAGCATGTTAAAATCTTTAATTAAAAATTGGTTTGATTAATTTGTTTATGTATAAATTTCTAAACTTAAAATAATTTATTTATTTAATTATAAATTAAGCGTAGTAATTTGGAATATTCGTAGAAATTTAATAATTTTTTTACCGTTTTACACTGTATTTCAAAAAAACGGGAGGAGCAACCGCCTTACCCCAGTCCTCCCATTTTCTGGATTCGCCACTAGCCTTAGTTTGTGAGTTGTGACGTAGAGGTGCACGGCCACACATGCATTAAAGTAGCAATCATTAAGTTTGCAAGATTTTCATTATGCTCCATCTCAACAAAATAAAATTAATTTAAAATCAAAGTTTATGGTGGAAAATTTACGAATGATCTTATATGTAGTCCATTACTTATTAACGATACAAATTAGGGGAGTTAACTTAAATAGTACTATAGCGTAGTGACTTTCTTAGGGGCTGTTTGTTTCAGCCTCTTAATGGTTCAGATGTCTGAATGATTCAGCTCTTAATGGTTCAGACTGTTTGTTTCAGCCTCTTAATGGTTCAGATGTCTGAATGGCTCAGACATTTGCCTCTGAATGGTTAAGTATTATACAGAGTCTGAATGGTTAAGACCTCTTATCTAAATTGATCAGACATTTGCCTCTGAATAGTTAAGCAGTATACTAGCTCTTAATGGTTCAGACCTCTTACTAGTTCAGCACTTAATAGTTCAGACCTCTTACTGGTTCAGCACTTACCTATTCAGAAGTTGCCAAACAACCCCTTAATATAGTATCATATGTGTTTATTTTTAATGTAATACCACTAGTCATTGTTTAAGTAAATGTTTACCGCCACTGGACATTGTTCAAACTAAATGTCCACCATCACTAGAGATTGTTCAAACTAAATGTCCACCATTACTGGACATTGTTCCCGGCACTAGACACTATTTAAATACTCCCTTCGGTCCTAAAAACATGTGTTATTAATTTTTAAGAGATTTAAAGAAAGTGTATTTTGACAATGAATTTCCAAAAAAACCCTTTGATATAATGTGTAAAGTAGGATTTGATGGATAAATTATTAGTAAAAAAGTATGATGTAGGGTATGAAAAAGTAAGGGGTAAAAGTAACTTTTTAACAGAAAGAAGAAGTGTTTTTTGGGATGGAAGAAAAAGAAAGGAGAAAAGTTTTCAGGGACGGAGAGAGTACTATTTAAGGAAAAAAATAGGTACGAAGTATTACTTTAGCAAATGACATATGTTTTAGTTTTGAGTACTTAAATACTCTATGCATATATATGTCTTTGTTTTATTAAATAAAGTAAATATTGTGTATTCTTAAACTAACCTTCCATACAATCATAAATTCATAATGAATATTATGTGTAGAAACATTTGCACTAAATAGCACTAAAATTTAAGTCATTTCTTTAAATAACACTTAAATTGTTTTATTCCTTAAATAGCATTTAATAACGTCCATAATATCCTGTGATGGTTAACATTTACTTGAATAATGACTAATGAATAATGACTAAAAGTGCTATATTAGAAAAAAAACAAATATAATATATTATTTATGGAAAGGCATACTGTTTTAGCACTATTTAAGTAAATTCACCTTACATGATGCATGCAGAAAACGGTGATAGAGAAGGGAAAACCGATGTTACAAGACACAATAAAAAACATGTGCGGCGGCGGCGGCCGCATTCCCAAGTGCTTTAGAATGGCGGACTTGGGTTGCTCCTCCGGGCCAAACGCCCTGCTCCCGACCATCAACATGATGGACGCCGTGAGGGAGGCTTGCCCGCCTGACGCCGACCTGCCGGAATTCCAAGCGTTCCTCAATGATCTCCCGGACAACGACTTCAATGCCATCTTTCGGTCGATCCCGAATTCTCTTGGCCCGGGCAAAAACCACAAATGTTCGGTAGCTGCGGTGGCGGGTTCATTCTACGACAAACTCTTCCCCTCCAATTCCCTCCACTTTGTTCATTCCTCCTACAGTCTTCACTGGCTCTCCCAGGTCTTTTTTGTACTTATTGTACTCTTTCCGTCTTGATCTTAAAAAAGTACCCCTCCGGTCCTAAAAACATGACATGTTTCTTTTTTCGTTCGTGTCAAAAAACACTTCTTATTTCCATTAAAAAGTCACTTTTACGCGTTACTTTTTCATATCTTATCTTTCATATCATAAATTTTTACTAAAACCATATCAATCAAATCTACTTTTGCCTATCATATCAAAGGATATTTTTGGAAATTTAATATCAAAATACTTAAATACACTCTCTTTAAATCTCTTCAAAATCAAAACATCTCATGTTTGTAGGATCGGAGGGAGTATTGAAAAGTCAAAAGTGTATAGTACTCCCTTCGTCCCAAAAAGAATAGTACTGTTTGACTTTTTGGGAAATTAAGGGAGGGATATTTTGGTATTGACTTTCCAAAAATACCCTTGATGTGATGAGTAAAAGTAGGATGTGATGGGTAGAAAAAAGGTATGATGTGACAGATAGGGTATGAAAAAGTAAGGGGTAAAAGTAGTTTTTTAACAAAAATGTAACAAACTTTACGGGACGCAGTTTTTTCTAAACGTAACGAACTTTTTGGGACGGAGGGAGTATAAAATAAAAAAAAAGGTTGAAATGTAAAAAGTGTTTGTTTGCTAAAAGAAATATTGTATAGGTTCCGGAAGGGATTGATGAGAAGATGAACAAGAGGGACATATACATAGGCGAGTCGAGTCCGACCGAAGTGGTTGAGGCTTACGTGAAGCAGTACGAGAAGGACTTAACGGCGTTCCTCCGTTACCGTGCCGACGAGCTAAAACCGGGCGGCCGGATGGTTCTGGTTCTTCTGGGCCGGGGCACGCCTCTTCACACTGGGACCCCTTACCTCGTTGACCCCTTAACCGAAGCCCTTCTCCAGTTTGTTTCCGAGGTTTGTACGTTTGCATATTACTGTATTACCTAGTACGGAGTACATGTCATGTGCACCTAAATTAGTGATTTAAATTAAGAAAAATTTATTTAAATAGCACTAAAATATAACGACTTTCTCTAAATAGCACCAGATGTGTTTTTCTTTTCAATATAGCACTTTTAGTCATTATGCATTAGTCATTATTCAAGTAAATATTCACCATCACTGGACATTATTAAGTGCTATTTAGGAAATAAAACAGTTTAAGTGCTATTTAGGGAAATGACTTTAGTTTTAGTGCTATTTAATGCAAATATTTCTTAAATTAAATATAAATTAAACATAATTTAAATAAATAAAAAATGATATAAAAATTTGATATATCAAAACTAAATCCTAAGAAGAATCCTTGTTTGACTAATAATGAGAATTAAACCAGGGTTTGATCGAGGAAGAAAAGCTGGTCTCCCTCAACGTGCCTTCTTACTCGCCGCACAAGGACGAGATGAAGGAGATAATAGAAAAGGAGGGGTCCTTCACACTTGATCGGTTGGAAGTCACGGAGATGAATTGGGATAACATTACCGGTGTTGCCGTTGCGGAGGAAGACGGCGGCAGCAATGGGTCGCCGGCGGCGAAATTCTTGACGAAGACGATCAGGGCCGTGATGGAGCCGATGGTGGCCGCCCATTTCGGAGAGTCCGTAGTCGACCCTCTGTTCCTCAGATATGAACAGCTCGTCGCCCGCCGATTGGCTGCCGGCGACGACGAGAAGAAGGATCTCAAGTTCTGGAATCTTTCCCTCTCCCTGACTAAGAAGAGCAATTAATTAATCTCTCTCCGTCCTAAAACTATCTTTCCACAGTCAAACTTAAACCACTCTCTTTACTTATTTTCGCTGCTTATTTGATTAAATAATATAGTCTTGTCACCTCTCGTTTTGTAGAACTTTTAATGTAGTTTTTAAATATGTAAATTTTATTTTTTAATTTTACACCTATAATTAAATAAACTGAATTGAAAATAAAGTCGGTAAAACCTCGTAAACACAAACGGGAAGATATTTTTTGGACGGAGGGAGTAATTTCCTTCCAAAGTTTGAATTCGGTTATACTCCCTCCGTCCCACAAAATCCTTCCCCTTTCTTTTTTCATTCGTCCCAAAAAACACTTCTTTTTTCTTATTAAAAAGTCACTTTTACCCCTATTAGTTCTTAACCTACCTATCACATCACACTTTTTCTCTATTAATCTAGTCATCCCATCCTACTTTATCCATCACATCAAAGGGCATTTTTGGAAAGTTAATATAAAAATACACTCTCCTTAAATCTTTTAAAAGTCAAAATGAGAAGTTTTTTAAGGGATGGAGGAAGTATATATATATATAGAATTACATGTAGTCATTTAATAATTTATGGCCTTCTCTTATAACAAGGCAACAATGATATTGTTAGAGCATCCACAATGGTATCTCACTAGATGTTGAAGTGTTGACTCTACTTTAAAGATCTCAATTGGGCATATCTCTTAACATTTAAACATTTCAATGGTGGCATCTCATATGGATGCCTCATTTTATTCAACGAATGCAGTGGGTCCACATAAATATAATTATATTTTATTTTCTTAATTATAAGTATTTATTATATGATCATTTTTTAATTAAGATTAATTATTCACACGTTATTATTAATATTACCTTCGTCCTATAATATACATCTAATTCTGATTCTTTACATTTAAATTAATAAAATTCTGTCTTTAATTAAATAAAACTTATATTAGAAATTGAATACAAAAATAAATTTCTTAGATTTATCTTGTAAAATATTTTAATTTTTTTATGTAATTAATATATGATGAGGTTAATATTGTTTCAAAACAAACAGAAAAACAAATACCTAAGAAAATTTTCAAAATAAATAAATATAAGGGTCATTCCATTAAAAAAGAATTTGAATTCTAGAACATTGTCATATCTAATTTTTTGAAGACGCCAAATATAATTTAATAATAATAAAAACTTTCGAGCCTTCAAAAAAAAGTATGAATGCAAACTTTCAAATTGAAAAAATAATAAATATGACGCATGGCATGTACATATTGGTCTGCAAAGCTAAAAAAAAGCTTCAATTCTTCCATCCTCAAGCATCGGGTGCTACACTAAGCATCTTTCTTTGATTTTCCTCATTGAGCATCTTTATTGGGAATCTATCTACAATAATAGCATCCATCAACATTCCACTCTCTTTCCTCCTAGCATCTATTTTGGGCATACCATTGGAGATGGCCTTATATTATGATGACTAGAATACATTTCTCACACTTACACTTGTGATTTTTTGTTTTTAAAATTGGTCATGTTTATCACCCCTCTCAAATCCTCACTTCAATTCATATCCTGGCGAGGAGATTGAAGGAAATGGAAAAAAACTGAATCCTCGCTCTCATTTTTCTTGCTACAATAGAAGGAACCTAATTTTCCTTTTTCATAGCTTGTTTTCTTTTCCTTCTATTTTTTTATTTTTTATCTATAACCAAAATGAAAAATTATTTTCTACTTTATTTTTGTCTTTTTCTTCTTAAATTCCTTGAACCAAACGTAGTGTAAGTGAAATGTATTCAATCTAGATTGAATTTTTTTAAAGATTTTTTCAAAACCCAGGAATCATGGGAAATTCATGAATTATTGAGTAAATTCCATAAAAGGTCCCTAGTTATAGGTCGTTTTACATATTAAGTCCCTACATATCAAATATCAAAAATTTAGTCCCCAATTATTATATTATTTTCCACAAATAGTCCTTTGTTAACATTTCCGTTAAGAACATGGATAAAATTGTATATTCACTCCTGTATCAATTGTTCATCTTTCTGGTGGAACCCAAAATGGAAACCAACAACCTTCATGGATGAATTTTATGGGTTAGTCCTGAGATATTGCAAAGAAAACAAACTTTAAAACTCATTCGTAAAGGTTACTGATTTCGATTTTGGATTCCACTAGGAAGACGACCAATTGAGATATGATGGATGATTTCGGTTTTGGGTTCAAACCTTCAAACTCAGCGACAGGTTTGGGATAGGAGTGCGAGAGAAGAGAGGATGCTTAATTGAGGAGAGAGAGAAGCGTGAATTTACAATTTATCCGGCCATGTGTTTAACAAAAATGTTAATAAATGACCATTCCTAGAAAACAATGTAATAATTGGGGACTAAATTCTTGATATTTGATATGGACTAAATATGTAAAACGAACTATAACTGGATGGGGACCTTTTAAGGAATTTACTCTATATTATTTTAAATTTATGCAAAGTTTGTTAGTCCCTCTGTCTAAAAATAATCTTCTTGTTATGCGTCATGATGTTTAATTAAAATTTCATTTTAGAATAATAGCCACACATTTAGTGGGGGCTTAGGGCGGAGCTGGGGTGGAGAATAGGGGCGGGGCTAGGGTCGGGGGTTTACGGAATTACGGGTGGGTAGGAACAATTAACTTTTCAAACGGAACATCAGAAATGTTCAAAAAATGCAGTGTCACCGCTAATATAGAACCGTTGGCCAATGTCAATGGAACCCCACTTATATATATATATATATATATATATATATATATATATATATTTTGGTTCTGGTGAGAATGCGATCTTAGGAGAGAAATGAGAATGAATCTGGTGCTTTAGATTGTGAGATCTAAGGGCCAGGATTGCATCAAAATCATATGCACCAAAATGGTTTAAAAATGCATCACGTCAAAATGAACCAAAATCCTTTGAAAATGCACTATCTCAAAATCTGAGCGCATGATGCAATCTGAGCCGCACGATGCATCAAATCCAATGGCTAGATTTTATTCTCATTTCTCTCCACAAAGTGCATTCTCACGGGAACCAACCCCTATATATATATATATATATATATATATATATATATATATATATATATGTATGTATGTATGT